CTAGTCAGGCATGCTCTTTGTCTTCTTCCCCTTGAATTTTGTAATAATTGAAAAAAGCAGACATATTACTTAAGTGTTTCCAGTCCTATAAGGAAATCTTACAAAGGCATAAAGTTATGAATACAAATATTTACCAGAAAATATTCTACTTTTCACATCATCAATGTAAATGCTCCAAAAATCAGAAGTTTTATCAAACAGATCTTAATTAAAAAAAATCCTATTTGCTCTTTTCATGTAATCACATAAACACAAAGTTATCTAAATAATGAAGGTCATGTTTTATTTTTAGAAAAAAAATCAGTGTAATTGCACTATAATCAATTCATTTAATTTCATTAGTAGCTCTGTTGGTTTCCCCTATTTTAAAATCCAAAATTTAATTTGTAAATGCTCACATAATTCTCTTATCCCAGAAGATACATATACATTTGCACACACCCATTTCATTTTATAGTTCACTGGAAAGAAATTTTGGAAACTAGAAGTTCTACAAACTTTTGCACTAACCAAAAATCCTAAATTTTGTGCAAAATGAGAAAATTATTAATTGATCATTCATAAAAATATGCAGCATCCTCTGCATCTTATTATTTGAAAGCTTAATACTTACCACCTCATTTCATTAAACACAGCAAAAACACCTAACAAAATTTTACCCCCTACCAAAAACCCACTAAAGATGTAGCTCTCACATTATCTAAGATGGATAATGTGAAGGAACCAGGGACACTTTGCTGAGCAGCAATTATCATGTATCAATATTTTTCGATGTTCATTTGTACAAGGCACCATACACATTACCAATCTTTGCTCAAGGCCATCGGAAGCGGAGTTGGGAGAAATTGGAATCTAGAAGGCCTTTAACACCAAAGGTAGAATAGTAGTTACCAGAGGCAGGGGGTGGGGGAAGGGTTGGAGGAAAGAGGAGAGATTGGTCAGATTGGTCAGAGGGTACAAACTTTCAATAATTCTGGAGTTCTAATTTTCAGCCTGGTGACTATAAGTAAAGAATACTTGTAATTTACTAAGAGTATATCTGAAGGGTTCTCATCAAAAAAGTAAACTGGCAATTACTCAAAGTGAGGTATATGTTAATTAGCTTGACAGGGTAATCATTTCACAATGTATACATATGTCAAAATATTACGTTGTACATCCTAAATATACACAATTATTATTTGTCAGCCATACCTCAATAAAGCTGAGGGAGACACCAGGGGAACCCTGCAAAAGATGGGGCTTTGTTTGTTTTTGCTGTTAGAAAAAGTAAAGATACCGTGGGCTACCAGCACTTTGTAAAAATCTAGTAGGACGCTGAAGAACAGTTGAGGTTCGACGACTGAAAATCCTTGCAAAAGGGTAATGTAGAATAAACCTGTACTATATCTGCTCGAGAAAGAGAAGGGTGGGTAGGAGAGGGTTCGAGAGGTTCACAACGGGGGAAAATTGAGGGTGCCGCCAAGGAAGGTCTGAGGACGGGTTTTTTTGGCCTAAGTGGCGAGAGAGTGGGAGCATAGCAGCTTGGCCTCCACCTCCACTTCCCTACCAGCACCCTGCTGGGAGAGGGGGAGGAGGTTCACTGGAGGGTAAGATCTGGGACTGGAGAAAAGAAAGCCGCCCCGGGTCCTCTGGAAATCAGGAACCGAGCGGCCCTCAGGGAGGAAGGGCTGCAAGAGGGCGGGGCGCGATGCGGCGAGGAAATCCAGAGGACTACGACCCAGACGTGCGCAGCGCGGGTGGAGACCCCTACTCAATAATAACACCCGGGGGCTGAGGCAGGGCAGGGCGGATTCCGCAAGAAGACGAGACAGAACTTACTCCGCGGTCTTCCTCCGAGAGGAAGTCGGGGCCATCGTCCAGGCCTTCCTGCTGGGTCGGCGGGCCGAGCGCGCCGAGGAAGAAGATGAGGTGGGGAAGACACAAAAGGAGACATTAGTGCCAGGC